CGAGAAGATACCAGCGAAGTAATTTCCACAGTTTTGCGTAATCTTTAAATTCATTCTACGCACAGCTGTTGTTTGTAAGTGTCTGAATTTTCGTATTACTTTCGCATTATTTTTATCCTACGTTTGTATCGTGGCAATAATTAAAAGCTTGTAGTGGTAAAGGAATCTGGATAGCCGAATAGTCGCGGACACTAATCCTTGTGTTGATTTGGTCGCTGTATCAGTCGAAATTCTCAGTCAGCGCTCTGATGTGATAGGCGAAAAATGGAATTCTCATTCATCGGGAATTTCTCCGTTAACAACGTACGTAGGTGCATTAGTCGCAATGCGAAGAGACTTCGATTACAGCGATCGCAATTTGTGTACACGACTGCGAGTAGCCGTGTGTCCTGGTGGCTTGTAGAGCAGACATCTTCATTCAAGGAGGGGCCCAAGCACGTGTGCCAACCCTGCAAATTGCGTATCAAGGTGACCCCGATGTCGTATCAGGACACTACCTTCATGACGTTCACCAAAAAAGTCCATTCCCAGTTACAGTTTACCAGGTACCGTTTACCAATTCTAGCAATATGTTTCGATTGCAGAAATAATTTATCCTAACAAAAGACGACGTCTTGCGCTCGCCTTTCGTCAGCTTTTTTTTATTGTTTTAGGGTGGGGGGGGATGGTTGTACATTTATTTCACCTACGAGACGTAATTAAGACGAGGCGTTAAATGTGTTCCACTTTACCGACATTACATCGACCAAAACTGTTTCCTTGCAAAACTTAACAACTGCACTTATATACATTTTTAAAGACTGTTATGTTTCATATTCCTTAACTGATGTCGAAAGATAATTAAGAAATATACATTCTACGCATTTAATTTCATTATGTTAGGTTAGTGTTTTACGTTTTCATTAGGTTAGCTTGGTTATTAAGTTTGGGTTTTATTAGTGTTTTACGTTTTCATTAGGTTAGTTTGGTTATTGCAGGGCATTTCAGTTTCCGATTAGTACTTTGGTTTGGATATTAGTATGGAATTTTCATTTTAATTAGGTTAGGTTACGTTAGATCAGTACTTTGGTTGGCATATTACAGCAATAAAAATTTCCGCTATCGGAAAACGACACCTTGGCTCAGATGCCTCCTTTACAAGCCTAACATCCAAAACTTCCCGTCTTACCTTATGAAAACTATATCTTTATAGCTTCACTCCGACACAATACAAACGTCCTTCGGATCAGCCACACCTGTTCGTCGTAGCACGTGGTATGGGGCCATTCACGGTGGACTTACCCAATTCGTCCTGCACTATCCAGCCACGTCAAAGTGGCACTGCATGCAGGTGAAACGGCTCTGGTAGCCGTGTTCCACTAATCGTCACTACTCGTCAGCTGCCTGGAGATATAACTCGTCAGACTTTTGTATTGGCTCTGAGATGACTACGAATGTCTCAAAAAGCTCATGGGTGCTATCTGCTAAGACTGCGAGAGGCATCGAGATACCCAGGGCAGTACAATTTCTCGGAATGCCAGTAAAGAGGATGATAGTAGGACGAGATATTGGAGTGGCTCTTAACCTAACATCGACCATATTGAAAGAAAGGTATATCAGAGACTGACTGTACTTCACTGTCAATAACAGAAACAGCATTTCAATTAGAAATGGTATGATGCATTATAAGCAGCTAATCCAACCCATAATGGATTGTACACGTGTGTGTTACATACTCGCATGACGATAGTTTTTTTATCAGAAAAAACAATGTGAAGTCTTTCTGTCGTTTAACACAAATGAATGGCATGTGCACGATCAGTGATATGCACAATGTTGAAAAGATGCTCCAATTCTTGCCAGATGTTCTTCAAGTGCCTGAACACTGCTGGTCCCAACTTTTCATTGGCTTGATCTATAAACATTCAGTAGGACTCCTTGGACGAGGGATCGGCCCGTCGCAAGGCCCTACCTTTACACAGGTCAGCACAACACTGAAAAACGCTGACAAACATCAATGGCTTGAGTGGGATTCAAACCCACAGTCCCAGCGACCAAGCGGCACAAGGCCCACGCTTCAGACCGCGCGGCCACTGAGGACCCAGTGTCTAATGGATCTTGTAATTTGATTTGATATTTATGGTTTTGCTCAACAAAATATCATTAGCACAGATCAGAAGCTGATGTGTGCCATTCAATTCTAGTCCCTCTTTTGTTTTCTTGAAATTCCTAATGGTACATATCACTGAACATGTCAACAACATTCTTGTACGCATCATGCTCAGTGGATTGCAGAGCCTGAACTATCTGTAACTTTGTGTGTACAAATTAAGTCTTTAATGCATAACTTTGTGTATCATGCTGTGGGATATTTGAAGCTTCCATGATCTTCATCTGATTGACTTCCTTGGACTTTCCTGCACAAAATGTTTCAAATAACTGAGTACACATTAGGCTTCCCCTTCTGGTACACTTAGTGGTAATTACGCTACATGGTAAACCAGACTCAGACTTGTAAAGAAATCTTTCTGTTGAATTACTGATTGTTTTAATGTACCAAGGACTTCATGAAAACTGAACTTTGCATTCTGCAGAACTGTTTACCTTCACTATCACATTTAGAGTTTAACACTTATTATTCTAGATGGTCCATTGGATTTATCCAAGTCATTGATGGAACCTGCCAAGCCACAACTATTTGTAGCCAGTGCTGGTGGAACAAGTAACAGGGTACGCCTCTCTCAAAAGTCCTTACTGCCATGTGAAGTTTGTGGCAAAGTGTTTGACCGGCCGTCTTTACTGAAGAGACACATGAGAACCCACACAGGTAATAAATAATTTCACATAATCTTAAAATTACATACGAAAGTAAGCGGAGATTATTTTGTATTAAATGAATAAAAGATAAGTTTCCAATATATGTACACATTAACTTCCTGTGTAAGCTTTGTATACAGTTAATGAAATATTTAATCTCTACTTAACATGCATAAGCTACTTATTTGCATTTACCAGTATTGAAGGACTCTGATTCAAAATAAAATAAGATACATTTCTTACAAACTGAAGAGAATAAGATACAATATCAAGCCACAACTTCATGGATGGATCAAAATAAAATAAGATACATTTCTTACGAACTGAAGAGAATAAGATACGATATCAAGCCACAACTTCATGGATGGGAAAGTTCTGCAAGGGTACAGCGTTATAATACTGATCTGTCTTGACTGTCAGTCAGTATACTGGCATAGTTTAGGCCGATCATAACGGAGTGTTAAACATTCATATTTTTACTAAGAGTGAAGGAGTTGACCCTGCAATATACAATAAAATCCAGAATATATTTAAATTTTTTTGTTCTGCTGTGCCTGTAAGGAAATGATAAGTCGTGACCACTTCGTATTGCATGGAACTGACAAATACGGGGTAGGTGTGCAGCAGACTGAGCCAGCCATTTGTCTGAATGCTTTGCCATTCCTGTTCTTGATAACACTGCATTGATCTTAACCAAGAAACATGTGACCACACACTGAATCTGTGGTAATAATCATTCATGGGAACCCTGGTTCAAGAAGTGTCTGATAGGTAGCGCAGCAGATGCTGCTCATATTTCTCTGAAGAACTTTTTCAACTTTACTGAGGAAAGGAAAATGGCTTTATTATAAGGCAGAACCAACCTTTGGAATGGGCATGCAGGGAGGTTTCCCAAGACACCAAACCAACTTCAGTATGTTACAAACAGTTATTAAGCAAAGCTTTTGTGGTGACTAAATTATAAAATCTAAGGCGACCAGCCACATTAATTAGAAGCAAAATTCCAACATTTCAGAGAACCTATGTCTCCCTTTTCAAGAAATGATGTCATGGTTGACTACTGTTTGTTGTTTTTATAATTGACATCCCTTCCCATGTGACCATCAACCAATAGGGACCAGGAGACAAACAAATCTCAAAACCATTCACTCAGTCATTGGACCTGGAAAGCTGGTTCTGAATGACCCAGTCAGTTTTGTCTAATATAGCCAATCATCTGTCTAAAGTTGCAATGTATCTTCTGAAATTGTGGTTACCTCTCCGTCTTCTATCTTGTCTGTGTGTTGCTTAACCTTATTTACCATTTAAAAAATGAGAGGGTACAATGCTTGACTCAGCATGAATCCATTGTCCCTGTTAAAATTACTGGGGTGCAGTTGAATTTCCATTGTCTCCCTTACTAGTCTGTCCTGTACTCCTGGCTAGATTGATGACCTCACCAAAGCCAGGTTCTGCAACTCCAAGCAAATGGTTTCATCCAACAGTCACCATTGGTCAATAGCTGCTTGGGAAGTGGCATCAATTATGTATATAAACAACAAACCGTGGCCACTCAGAATATAATTCTCTGGCGAGGGAAAAAGAGCGGGTCTCTGAAGTGTTGGACATTTGCTCTGAACTGATGGGGCTAATCACTAAAGAAAATGTAAAATTAAGCAATACTTTATTCTTTTAACTAAGTGATGCAAAATGTGAATATTAATTTCATTTTCTCTGGATGTTCTTTCCTGACATATGGCATACTTTAATAATCACATGTTTAACATGAATGTTTGGTCCGTTTTTGCATGCATGCGGAGTTGAGCTGAAGTATTACAAACTCTCTAGACCGTATGATAGTGAAAACCACAAAGGTTACCATTTATTAGGAGGGTTTCAGTTTTTTTCATGTGATTACACTTCACAGTGCATTAATAACAAGATTTTGTTACAAAATTTATGTTTAAGATATACAATAGCTTCCAATCAGACTATGAACAGACATAGTTGGGTGTACATCTAAATAAATCAAGGTCCATTAATGTTATAAAACTTTATAGAATTCATCATCCATAAAGATGAAAAAATAGATGCTGGATGCCTACTCTTTGGGTAGTCAAACAAAATTATGTAGCACAGGTGAAACACCATACCTATTCACTTGAATACTTTAGCTTAGTGAGATTAGCTTACATCTATCAGTTATACATATATTAATTACATACATTACATCAATATTATGTTATTCTAATTATAAAAATGCATGTATTAGGTCTGTGTAAGTCTCATGAGTAATAAAACATCTCCTGTATGTCATACTGTATTTACAAGCTATTTTGCTTAGTGCAGGTGAACTGAAATTACCATGTCAGTATGTTTCATAGGTGTTCACAATATAAAGTTGCAAAAAGAACCTACATCTTCACCAATTGTCTGCATGGAAAAACATGGCTGCCACTGAATAGATTTTTATAACATTTTATTTCAGAATTTTTTACATTAATCTGTGTACCCACTTAAATTTTCACCAAAATTGGTTATGAAAGAAGCTATGGTACACAGGGATTTCTTTTTTTTTAATATTCCTATTCTGGAAGCAGATGATTTTTCAGACAGCATATTGGGTGGCATAAGTCAACTTTTACTACAGACAGTATAATTCAAATTCTGTAATCAAATAATACTACGCACATTAATAAAACACAATGAAATCAACATTAAAACACAAGCACTCAAGGAACTGCAAAAACATGACAAGATCCACAGTAATTATGAATTAAGATCTTTATATGAGCACAAACATATTTTGAGAAGTGAACATCAAAATGTTATATACACATAATAACACACAGTACAATTTGCACAGAGGTTCAATCCCAGTTGACTTCAATACAGATTCATGGTGGATGCACTGGCACTGGTTTCTCTTCAAATTCTTTGCTTTCCCTTATTAACCAGTGCTACAGTCATTTGTCATGTCTTCATGGGCTGTGTGATAGCCCATTTCAGGCAGCACAGTATCTATCCTCAGACCTAGTCAAAAGTCTCTCAGATTAGAGGTAGCTTTTTGTCACTGACAGAGTTTTTGTTTCTGGTCTTTGCAGTCTCTACTCTTCAACATTTGTCATGAATTTGTAAAATTTCAGTCTTGGTTGTTTCATTGAAATTCAACAATTAAGATCATTAATTTTATGTATATGTCTACATATTGTTTTATGCCACCATTTCAAGCTCACTGTGGAGCTTCACCAACTTTCTAGCTCTGGCTACTGGACAGCAAACATGACTGCTAATGACAATACCAAAAATATCAGGAAGTCCTATTGCAGCCTTATCATTTGCTGGAAGAGACTATAGAAAAACATTTTAGTTGGTATCAAGCTGAAACTTTGACATAAATGTTACCATAATGGTAAGCTGTGAGTAGTTTGGACATTTAGTTAAAAAATTGACAGTGGAACCACGGTTCCGGAGAATTTGACGTAAATACGTCTATACGGAAAGGAAGTTTATATATTGGCTTTATTCTAAATATTTCCTTTATACATGCTTTACAATTGAGATAAGTTTGATTAAGACTTTGCTTATTCAACTTGAATTAGTTACTCTTAAGATGGCTCTGTGGTAGCTGAATGTAATGTAAGGTAAGGTAATGTTTTATAGGTAACAACAATGCCGAGTAAACAGATGAAGTTTCCTAGGTAACAAAAATGCTTGAATACTTAACTTGAATTAGTTACGCTTAAGATGGATCTGTGGTAGATGAATGTAATGTAAAGTAATGTATTTTAATGTAATGTAAATTAATATAACGTTTCCTAGGTAACAACAATGCTAAGAAAACAGATGACGTTTTCTAGGTAACATAACAAAGAAGTTACACTTTTTCGTTTCCCTTTTTTGTAACACTTTTTTGCCGAATGACACTGACCCTAAAATATAGACGTATTTACGTCAAAAAAAGAAACATGGACTACTATTATTTACACGAGGGTCACAGCAGGCATATAAACTGAAATTCTGATCCTGTATGGATGCCCGTTTGTAGAATGAATATAAAGTCTTGAATAATTAAATTAAATTGGACATTACTAGATTGCATGTAGAGTATAAATATACACATTTATTTGAATTGTTATTATTTTTGATAAAGTTTTTCAAACACTTCTTGCAATTACTGATTGAGGTTAGGAACTTGAAACTGCAATGACTTTACATGCAGAAGGAAACCAGTTGCTTTTGTGGTGAGTGTTTGTGATTTTCCTTAATGGTTTTCCTCAGTTGCTCCAAGTAAAATCTGGGATGGTTCATATCATGAATGCAAAATTCCTAATTCTTTTCCTGTCACACTCATAATTGTATGTCTTATTATAAGACCTCGCCTAAGAGCCAGAGCATAAGAAAGAAGTTAAAAGGCCCCTGAAGCTTCACAAGGCACCGTACAGCAAAAGTTATAATGCAGTGGGTTTGATGCATGATCACTTTACATATGCATTGGTTATGTTCCAAAACTGGCGTGTGCGAGCGCACACATGTGGGGGTGGAGCTGTGAGTTCTGTTTGTACAGGGTGTCATTTTGCCTGAAGCCAGCCCTGTTGAAAGGATAGCAACCTGCAATACCCTGGAAAAAAGACAGGACTGCAACAATGGAAGCACACAAGAAAGTAGCACTGACTTTCTTCTCAGACTATATCATGTCTTCCACACTGATTTTGTGCCAGTGAAAAAAAACAATAAGTGTCAACTACTACTCACTGTGAATGGAACATGTGCAAGAAAGTACAATCACAAGAAGAGGCTACATTTACTTTGAAAGTTGGAAAGCACCAACACACAGTACTTGATCACACATCCCAAAACCAATCAAATTTGAGGAAATGGGGTATTGATGTAGTGTGCAAATAATCAATTTCATTTAGGCTTAATAAATAACAGCCATCTAGGTGCCATACCAACCTGCATTGGCATGAAAGAATACTGTGCACAGTACTAGTTAAGCAGCAGAATGCATTATTTATTACATACCTCTACAAGCAAAGTGCAAAAGGGCCTTAAGTTCATCAGAAATCCTACTCAACATGGTATCCAGTGTTGAAATGGAGCGAATGATCTCAAATTACCAACACTGCATACAGAACAAAACACACAAACCAAGGCCAATGAAGTGACAAATGTGCAGACTGATTAACTCATATGGAGTGCACTGGTGCATGAAATAATGTTAAAAATTCACATTACTGTCACTACTAGTAATCAACAGTAAAAGTAAAGCTGTCCCACTATATGCCATGTAGGCGCTTGGGTGAGGAGGATATCTCCTACTCATTCTTGACCTCAGCACTAGATTGGGGTGAGTGGTCAGCTTCACGCCCCGGCTGCACTTTACCCCCAGGAAAGGACACCAGTACCCATTGGATAGGAGGCTGGGTGGGCCCCAGGACTTCAAACCCTGGTCATCCAGTCCATAGCCAGTCACTATACTGACTGAGCTACACCAACGGTAGTACTCAACAGTAATCCATAACGATGTAGGATTTGAGGTCTGAAGATTGCTGTCTTTTGGGTTATTGCGCTGTGTAGTCTGGTACATTTCCACCAATGTTTCAGAGGTCACACTGTCTCCATCGCACTGATAACGGAGGCAGTATGACCTCTGAAACATTGGTGGAAATCTACCAGACTACACGGCGTAATAACCCAAAAGACAGCAATCTTCAATCCATAACAACAATAACAAATGGCAGTAAATTCAGTGCACTGTGAGTGTCCAAAAATTCAGAAAATATTTCAGTACTTCTGAACCAACAAAATCAGAGGGAAGGGAACAATGTTTTTAATAACATGAAACATCGTTCCTTTACTTTACCCCCATAAGCAATAGGAGCACACAGTCACCATCACTACAACGTTCAAGGCCATACCATCAATGAGTACAATGTTATTCTTGCAACTTGGGGTAAAAGAATCAGGGTGTAAAGGTGACAGTTTACCTCCTAATGCCAAGGTCATGAAAGACTGGAACTTCCTCAACTACCCTGTACATCTTCATTGTGTGGTGCTTAAAAAGCACCAGGGACAACTTTGCCTTCAAACCATCGTTGTTACTATTTATGTTTACCACAGGTAATTGATAAGCTTTTTTTTCAAACAATAAATATACCTTTCCAATGTGGCAGAGAAGAATTACTGTGCCACTGGAAGAGTCTACAACTCTCCCACAGATGCCACATTGTGTTATTCTGCTAGTCTGATCAATCAAAGTTGAATATTCGAACAATAAGGAAGCTTGTGTTGTCATACCAGCATGTAGCACTGGTGGAAATAAGTGAACTAAGTTAACTTCTACATAACCATGTAGCACTCAGTCAACTGTAGAATTTCATAAGAAAAGTAAAGTCCAGGTCAAACTACAAACACCTTTATCCTCTGCTTCCCCCCCCCCCCCCCCCCAATAAACTTCTTGATTCTGCACATGGTGAGGTGTTTCCCATATGTTAGTAAAGATTATAATCACAACTATTGCTGTGCAGGTGAGAAGCCTCATATCTGTGAAGTGTGCAACAAGGGTTTCTCAACATCTAGCTCACTCAACACACATCGACGCATTCACAGTGGGGACAAACCACACCAATGCCTAGTGTGTGGCAAACGCTTCACAGCCAGCTCCAACCTCTATTACCATCGTATGACACACACGAAGGTAACAGACCAACATACCAAAGAGTTTGTGTATGTCATTCCATGTCAACTCATCTCTGACTAACTTTGAATGCAATAAATTTAGTGAATTTGTTGAATCTCGTAATAAATATAAAATGTTGTTTTGGTACGTCAATTTCAGAGAAACAACTTTTTGCAGTTTTAAGTTTAACTAATTCTGAATCATTAGACTGTCTATAACCATAGTCCGAATGACGACATGAACCTCATTTATGTACTAATTAGAAGCTCTTAAATGGCACCTTCATTCTATATGTCACATGTGGCTTTTTGCATTATCTTGCAGCTTATAGCCTGATTTTTGAACTTGCCAGATTTGTTTACTTCCAAAATGTTTTGTACGTAAAGCATCTTTCTGGAAAATGTCACTTTGGAGACGAATGGGAAGGAAGTTTTTTTTATAATTAACATTGATCACTCTGATTATAACTATTGTAAGCAACATGTGTGACATTACGGTTCTTGGATCTACTTTTGTAAGAACTTTTGAAGCTGAAATCCACAAAAAGTCTGGTGGTGAAAGACCCATTTGAACATAAGATTTACTAGCTTCAGCAAGATGCAGAATTTTATTTCAATTCCATTTTCATTGACAGTGACAAAATTCCATGTGAAACTTTTGTTAGTGTTCATAATAACTGACAGATAAAGACGGAATAATGGTGTCTACATAAAAGCACGGTTGAAACAACCATATGAAGTCTAAAGCTCATTTTAACATTTCAAGATTGTCACCCAGCATATCGCTGATTGGCTTGGCAGGTTAAATATCTGGCATCAATCTGTAGGCTTTGAGAAGTCTAAGAACATGTGCATGACACTTGGATGCACATTACAGAGAGCACACGTGGATGGGGGGGGGATGGTGGACAGCAGATGGTTGTGTGAGAGCCAGGAGAGATATGGTTCTCCTCACAGCACGTGATATAAGCCGTTTTTGCTCTTCCTCACTTTATAACAAAATACTTTTATGTGTAGGGTCACAATGCTACTTAACATACAAAGATCCGTAACACTTCAAGTTTCACATCCTATTTTTCCTTCCATCAACCACAAAAATTTTCTGCTATGCTCACCAATCATTTTCAGCCTTCTATCTTTAGAACATGTTTGCAGAATTCTGAAACTGAGACACACCAAACCAGAACATTCTCTTGCACATGCAGGAACACCTGGGATAATGAAAAACAAACTGTGGGGCAGCACCATTCCTTACTTTCAGTTTGTGGTCGAGCCACGTGATTGCTGGCAAGAAAATTACGACTTCCGTCTATTTATGTAGTTCCATACACATCAACAAATGTTTCATTCTCAGCCACAAATATCTACACAAAACTAATATTTCATTAATGATTTAGTAATTAGTTCCTTCGGAACAGAATTCTGCATGCCCAGCAATTTTCATGGCACGCCACTTGTTGCACAGTTGCCAATGAGGTTTAGGGTACGAGTGGGGTTCAGTCCACACAACCAGTTCATAATGTCCACATAAATATTTTGTTTACTTTTCAAGTGATCTGTTTCTTTTCCCTCCTTTAAGCTGTAACACTAAATCCAATTTGTAACATCAAGTTCCTTTCCACATAAGCTGTATTTTCACCCTAGTAATTCTGTAGGCTAAATGGTCATGTGAACTGCACACCAGAGGGCCAAAGGCTGCTGTTCCTGCAGTATCCTAGAATGCAGTTACCAATATCTTCCTCATCTTTGTAATATTAACTTTATTTATTCTTCTCTTTTACAGGAAAAACC